TTTAAGTAAATCCAGGAGTGTCCACTTTAACACCCATAATGACTATAGATATTATTGAAGCAGTCGTAGATTCATGTGTAGCCACAGTACAGATTCTTCGCATTGAGATCTTTGTAGCCAACTCTGTCTCAGTCCTCAGATGGCAGTCTGGTCGCGCTTGGTACTTCTAGGCCACATGGCTTCATGCATTCATGTGACCCCTTTCGCCAGGCTTCACCTACGCAGGCTCCAAGTTTGGCAGAGTAAGGTCTGTCCCAAAGAGAGACTCCTTGGATAAGAGTCGCACTTCCTCCCAGTGTCTGGACATCTCTCACCCGATGGGAATAGAGAGAGAGAGTTTGTGTGTGGTGGTGGGGGGGGGGTTCCTTGCTTCTGCCCCACCCACAGACACTCATGACAGACCTATCCCTCCGAGGCTGGGGTGGCACACCTGGGTGACCATATAGCTCAGGGCTCCTGGACTTCTTAAAAGTCGCACACACCAGGTCAACCAACTTGAGCTTCAAGCAGTCAATGAAGCATGCAAAAAATTCTTCCCCTTCATTCAATCCACTCGGGTCCAGGTAAAATCAGACAATGTGACCACTGCTTAGTATATAAACACACAGAGGGGATCAAGGTTTGCATCACTCTGCAGGGAGGTGGTGCACCTCTGGAACTGGTGCATCCAGCACCAGATCATCCTCTGCAGTGCATCTGCCTGGGATAATGAATTCCCTAGCAGATAGTCTCAGCAGGCATTTTCACGAGTGGGAGCTCTACCCGTCTGTCACTCAGTGAATCTTTTGCCAGTGGGGATCCCCATCTTCCAACCTTTTTGCAACCCAGGACAACAGAAGGTGCTCAACTTATTGCTTTCTGGATGCTCGGGGAGCTGCTCAGAGAGGATGCATTCCTAGTGCACTGGTCACACCTTTCCTCCCATTCCGCTCCCACCATGAGTCCTCCAAAAGACCAGCCACAGCAATTCTGCTTCACCAGGGCCCTACAGGTGGCCTCCCACCCATGCATTCACCTGTACCGTTTCCAGACCTACGGTCACAGAACGGGTGGCACCAGGTATCCCAAACTGGCACCCCTTCATCTGACAGCCTGGTTTTGGGATGGATGACAGACTTAGGGAGATCCTGCTTGGAGAAAGTTCTGTTCATCCTTTTCAAAAACAAAAAACCTTCTATAGGAAAGTGTTACACTGCCAAGTGGGAGTGGTTCTCTCTGTGGGTCAGAGGCACAATTTGCCTCTAGGGGAATCTGGCATTCCTCTTATCCTGGACTGTCTCCTCTCATTTATAGTCTCAGGCCTATCCGTTAGTAAATTAAGGGTTTGTTTAGCAGCTATCAATGCCTTTTATTCTCTGGGAGAGGGTTTTCACCCATTCCACAACAGTCAAGTTTTTAAAAGGCACCATCAGAATGTTCCTACCGGTATCAAGACCTACTCTGTTTTGGGACCTGAACCTACTGCTTTCCCAATTCATGAAACTGCCCTTTGAACTCTTGGCCTCCTGCTGCCTCTTACTTTTATCAATGAAGGTAGCCATCCTCACAGCCATTACCCCAGCCAAGAGAGTAGTTGAGCTTAGGGCCCTCAGGGTGGACTTGCCTTATATTGTCTTTCACAGGGACAGAGTATCCCTGAGACTGGATTGCAAATTCATCCTTGAGGTTCCATCTGACTTTCACTTGAACTGGGCACTCCACCTACCTGTTGTTGTTTTTTACCCAAGACCTCAGGAATATAGAGGCAGGAAACGGAATGCTGGAGCCCTGCGGACATCCAGTCTGGATAGGACAAAGCACTTTAGAAGATCTCCATGACTATTTGTCTCCATATCTGAGAGGATGAAGGGAGAGGCAATGTCTTCCCAGGGACTCTCAGAATGGATTTCCAGCTGTATCTTTCTCTGCTATGAGAAGGCAGGAGCCCCTCCTTCACAATCTGTCAGGGCTCACTCTACCAGAGTGCACGCTGCCTCACTGGCATCCTTTCAAGGAGTCCCACTCTTGGAAATCTATAGACTGGCAGATTGGCTCTATTGGCATTTTACCGGGCACTATTCCCTGATTCAAGCCTCAGCTGAGGATGCTTCCTTCGTTTCTGCAATCCTGTTAACTGTGGTGCAAAGCATGGGCGGCGGTTGAAGCTTCTCCTTGGGGAGGCTAGCCCCCTGCCCTGCCTCTTCCCTCTGAGGCCACACCCCCGCTTGTGCTCTCAGCCCCCCCCCCCCCATGGCCCTGGCAGGGGGGCGGGTTTGGGGCTCAGTCAGAGCTATGAGGACAGGGGTGGGGGCAGGGGCTGAGAGCTCGTCCCCAGCCGGAGTCAAACTCTCAGCCTCGGCTGGGACCGCACGCAGCTCTTGGCTCTGCCTGGGGCTCTGAGCCTGGAGCCCTTCCCCCCATTGTGCCCCTTCCACCTGCAGCCCTGCCCCCGTTCTGCCCCTACTCCGGCTCTTCCCCCCCACCCAAGGCCCTGCCCCGGCTCACTGCTTCCCCTGTGGCTCTGAGACCAGAAAAGCTCTATGCCCCTGCCGTGGCCCCAGGGCTGTGGCAGAGTGGGGCGATTTTTCTGGGGGCCCCAAATCCGCCATTCCCCCTTCCCCCCGGGTGGCATGAGGTTTGGGGAGGCTTAGCCTCCCCCAACCTCCATTGCGCGCCGCCCGTGGTGCAAAGCTCTTCCTCGCACTTGCCTTCTCAATAGGCACTGCATGGGAGTCGCTCATAGTGAATACCCATAGAGACTAGCACTCAAAGAAAGGGAAGTAAGGGTATGTCTACACTACCCACGTTACAGCGCAGCCGCAGCAGCGCTGTGACGTGGGCAGTGTAGCCATGCTTTATAGCCGCGGGAGAGTCTCCTGGTGATTTAAAAAAAAAAAAAAAAAACACCCCTAACGGGCGGTGGTACCTTTATCGCTGGGAGCGCAGCTTTTAGCGCTTTTCAGCGCTAAAACTTTTGTCGCTCGGTGTTTTTTCACACCCCTGAATGACAAAAGTTTTAGCGCTGAAAGTGGCAGTGTAGTCACAGCCTTACTTACATTATAGTAACAGGAGTTCTTTGAAATGTGTGGTTCCTATGGGTATTCACAATCCACCTTCCTTCCCTTCTGCTTCGGATTCTCACGTGATTCACAGCAGAGTTGGAATTGGAGAGGCAGTTGGTTTGCCCCACCCCTCACACCCTCTGTTTGCAGCACGAGGAGAGACAGTGCATTGGTGTGGACCAACAGACACTGTTATTGAAGAATTTCTGGTTGCGGGAGCAGTGAATAGCCATAGGGACCATGCATCTCAAAGGACTTCTATTATCATAAAGTAATTAACCTTCCTTTATTGATCTACCGGATGTTTACATGTGTGTGCAACGGACTGTTAACAATCTAAACATCAACAATGTCATCATTAGGTTTCAGAATTGTCAGTTTATTATAATTTTAACAGAAACCTCAAGATTGAGTGCTTATCCCCCAGTGCTGAGCTGGATATTCCATAGATATTGTGATGGAGGGCAGTAGGGCAGCAAGGGTGTGGAATGAGGAATTTGGAATTAAATCCTGCTTCAAATTTGAAGTTACACCCATCACTGCCTACAAGGGAGGGAGAGGAATTCACACCCTCCCCAGTACACAAAGTTTCAGCTGCCTCCTGGTTTCCAAAACTGTCAGATGCTGCATTGTTTACTGCCCAGTCATCAAAACCCCAAGCTTGCCTCTGCCAGCTTCTGTGATGAAACTACATGGTCTGAGTTTAAAAATATACAGCATGCTGAAAAACAACAGTTTGTGGACTGCATGAAAAACATTAAAAGTAATATCTCATTAAAAGTAATGTCAGAATAGCTCCAGAGATATGTTAGTGTATTTGGTTTCTTGTTTATTAAAATTCCCAATATTTGTATTTATCTGAATTTGCCACAATTTCCAGTTTCTTGGAGAAGCCAGGGAGCCTTGCTGCAGGGTTTAAGTCCAGCTGGCCACAGAGTTATAAGCGTCTTTACTCCTAAAGTTCTTGGGAGTAGGGCTCTTCTCCCTGTGGAGCTCAGGGTGTGCCCTGATGACTGGAGCCAGCAGGGATGGTTCAGTGGTTATGGCGCTGTTGTGGGACTCAGGATACCTGGGTTCAATTACACAGAGTTTGTGTGGGGATGGGCATGTCACTCAGCATGTGTGCCTAAGTTCTCAGTCTGTGAAGCAGGGATAATAATACCGCCCTGCTTCATAAGGGTGTTGTGGGGATGAATACATTAAAGAAGCACTCAATTACTGCAGTGGTGGGGTCATGTAAGTACCTAAAATGGATGGAGGGCAACAGACCCCGGGGAACATGGAGGGACCAAAGAGAAGCATGCGCTTGCACACCATAGAAGTTAAACATGGAAAACGAATGTGCTTATGCCAAAGGCCCAGACTTCTGACCAGTCCGTCTCTCCCACTCTTGCACCTCCTACAGTGCGCAAGAGTGGGGCACGCACTGACACCCAGGGCCGCCGAGAGCGGGTTCGGGCCCCGGTGAAAAAAAATTTTCAGGCCCCCCAGCAAGGGCAGACCGGCTAAACAGGCCGACAAGAGGTGGGGGGAGCCGGGCCCCGGGCCCCCTTCCAGACCGCCGGGCCCTGGTAATTTGTACCGGCTTCCTCCTTCCTCCCCCTCCCCCCCCCGTCATCCCTGCTGACACCTCTGTATGCCAGACACTAAAAGTGGCAGTAGAATTGAGGGATATAGTGAGTGGGGGAAAGGGCTTGAAGGGGGGTGGGTCCCTGCCACATAATTTAGATATAATAAACTATCACCTCTATTTACCTCCAATATCTACATCCACTGGACTTGTATCTTATCACTGAGAACTGGACTGGGACAAACTCATTAACCTGGTCTATATTCCAGGAAGCGTCCTAGAAGGTATCCCATTACCAATTCCTGAAGCCGCTCTCACATAAAAACTTTTTAAAAACCAAGTCTGTAATACTGTAGTACAGGATCTTTTCTGTGTGCTCTCCCCTGCAGATCTGGTTGCTGTCCTATGTCCTAAAGGTCCTCTTCGTATGTTGGTTGAAACAGCTCAAGAGAGAAATGAAACACTCTTCCCAGCACTTATTTACTCCTGTAAGTATATTTCATTAAGGCTTTTAGATTTGTAATCTCTTGCCTGACCTTGAGGAAAGGAGATGTAATCATCCCATTGGCTTCCTTTGCTTTAATATGTTCTGTTGCATGCACAGCTGGAGATCACATTTCATTTTCTTGGGCCTCAATTTTTCATTTGCTATTTGCTCAGAAACCTGGAATATGTTCTTTATAAGATATTCCAAGATAAAAACAGCACATATTGTTCTTTTTAAATTAAAATGGAAAAAATGGTAAAGGATCTTGGTCTGGCCAAAACAGCATCAGTAGAACGTGAATCTAGCATGCTTAGGATAGGCTTTGTTTCTGTTTAGAAATATTTGTCCATTTGCAGGGCTTAAACAATCTATTTGCCACAGAGAAGGGGGAAGCTCATGTTGGTGAGTGAGGGGATCCTATCCCATGTATTCCTGCAAGAAATAGATTTTCTTCAGACTTTTAAAATTTACGTTTCTAGCTTATGGTTGCAAGGAATAACCCATTAAATGTGAACTGCTTCTGTGTTCTCTGTGTGTGTCTGCTTCTGGTTTTGCTCGTAGTTTGTCGACCAGAAATTATTTGCAATTTTGACACAAATCTGCAGACTAGTTTTAACCCCAAAACATGTTTAGGCTTTATTCACAAAGTGTATGTGTGGGGGCAGGGGGCGTGCCCACCTTGTAACTTTTAGTTCAGTGCTTCGAGCACTCACCCAGTAAGGGGGAGACCTAGTTCAATCCTTCCCCCCGCTGATATGGAGCAGGGATTTGAACTTGGGTCTCTCCTCCTCCCCCATCTAACCATGGGGCTATATTTTGGCGTATTCTGGGATATAGTGTTATGATCTTTCTCAGTCTCTCCTGTTGAAACTGTTCTACCTTGTATAAATAATTACGCATTGGCGCAAAGATTTGAACTTCGGTTTCCCACGTCCGAGGTGAGTGCCCTAACACTAAGCTATAGAGTGATTCTTACTTCGTCTCTATTCAAGTATTTTATACAAAGTGGGACAGCTTCAACAGGAGAGACACCTGTCCCAGGATGTTCTATAGTCGGGGCACTCTCCTGAGTGTGGGGGAAGACACAAATTCAAGTCCTAGCTCCGTATCGGGCAAATGGGGGAATTGATCCCAGGTCTCCCCCATGTTGGGTGAATGCCCTAACCATTGAGCTAACAGTTATAAGGTAAGAACCACAACTACCTCTGGCAGTTTTGTGAATCTGGCCTTTAAAAATACCTGGAAACAAGACCTTTTTGGATTGAAATTCACCAACATTTTTTCCAAATTTTTAGATTTGGCTCAAGTAGAACCAAAAAAATCAGTTATTTGCCCAGCTCCAGTAAGCAGCAGCAATGTAAAACTAGCACAAATCTGATCATTTTCACTGCTGCTGTTCGTAATCCTGGGAGCAGCAATGAAATTGTCAAGAATCAACAAATTTTACTTTGCTGCTGCTCAGGAAAACTCTGTGTTGAAAGAGGAGGACTGAAACTAAAATGCCAGGTGCAGATAAAGTACCAGACACGCACTTTCACCTCCAGCAGCTAAGAGTCTCTGGGATAGGGGGAAGAGAGTTATTTCTCCCTTCCAGCAGCCATATTTTAGACTAATCAGGTACCCAGCAGACAGAAGCTGATTTAAAAAAAAACTGAGCCCCCTAGTGAGGTCCACTATGGTAATGCCAACTTCCTCTCCCTTACCAGCAGCTGGGGCTGGACTTCTCACCAGGGCATCACCCATGGAGCTCACTACTGGGGATTCCTTCTCATCTTGCATCTTGATTTCTGGCTAGTGGGAGTGTATAGAGCTTTTTAAACACTGTTTATTCAGATTGGATAAGTTCAGAACATCTGGTTAAACCGCTTACCCAGTCGGCTCTCTTGTAGCGTTGAAATACATAAGACCCTTTACAATTGGGGGAGGGACTCTGGTCTTGTGGGTGACAGGGAGTCAGGAGTTGTCTTTTTCCTAGCTTTGACATTAACTCGCTATCTGATCTTCCCCCACCTCAGTTGTCTTGTATAAAATGGGGCCAATACCTATCTCGCAGGGGTGTTGTGAGGCTTGTTTTGGGGGAAAAAAACTGTTTGAGATCATCTGACAGGCTCTACAGAAGGCAAGTTATAAAGAATCCAAAATACTTTGACAATTGAATGGAAGACTCTAGTTGTTTAAGGGGAACTGCAGTGTTTTTATCCAAAATAAAAAAATTTAACATTAAAGATCAGTGTTTTAAAAGCTGGCCAGAAGTGCATGATAAATGCAGTTTATTACCTGGATATTGCCATCTCAGATATAGAAGGGTGGGGCATATGTGATGATGTCCAACTCATGAGACAGATTGTTACCTGGAGATCTGACTTGTTAGGGTATCCACCACTGACATTTTCCATACATACTTAGCTTTGGGATACTATTATGTCCTGAAAACCTAGCAAATATCATGTTAATTCAGAAATCATTGTACAGATGCTCCCCGACTTACGCAAGCATTCCGTTCCGGAATGTATTGCGTAACTCGAATTTTGTGTAAGTCAGAAACAGATACCCGACAATTATGCCAAAAAAAACCCCCTCCTATTTCTAGCTTATGGAACTGTTTCTGTAAGTGCGGATTTGCGTAAGTCGGGTTTGCGTAACCCGGGTGGCTTCTGTATTAAAAGGTCAAGCACAGTAGAAATGTCTTATGTTGTAGACTCCAGTTGGCTGCTTAGGAGAGAAGGGTGTGGTGGTGCGGGGGTGGGGTGGGGAGGTAAGAATAGGATGGAGTGAGGGTTGACTTACCTGTCACAACCTTAGTTCTGTTGTACTGGTAACATCTGCCCATAGCTGTCTTAGCCCTTCTGTATGCCCAAGAAGTGGAAGTTAGGGCTGGGAAACAGCAAACTTGAACTAAAAATAAACAACTTAAATTGAATAAAATTGAATTGTAAAAGAATAGGAGAAGTGACCAGCCTTTTAAAAAAAAAAAAAATAGCTTCTATAGATACAGTTACCAGCGCTGCCTGTGTAAACTGATGCTACTTCAATACCAGTCATTATACTTCCAAATGAAAATCTGGTTGCTTCTGCACAAGAGAGTAGGAGGAGAATCATCAGTTCAGTTTTTCAATGTGTACTCTTAATGGGAAACTGTATCTCTAAGGCAGCTGCAACTTGACTGTTATCATTTTTAGAACATTTATTATGACCAGTCTGTATCCAGTCAGATCTGGAAGATGTGTTGTAGCTGAAACTGACTTCATCCCAACTATTAGTATGCCTTTAAGTATTTTAAAAGGAAGTAAAACTGCCTGTGACAGAAGATAGTTGCAGCAGAAAAAGTAGTAGAGAAACGATAGCCCAATGCTGACACCACAGTTTGTCCTCTGACACATGTTGACCAACGTCTTTTCTTCAACAGCAACGATGATATGGCTAGTGAACATGGCTGAGGAAGACCCGGAAGCCCAACGGAAAGCTTCGAAAAGCTCCACTTATGATAAACAAGGTGAGGATTTCTTTTGCATGTTAGCTTATTGTAGAACATCTTCATAGAGAAAAGCGGCAAAGAGTCCAGTGGCACCGTATAGACTAACATGTATTGGCGCATAAGCTTTTGTGGGTGAATACCCACTCTGTCGGATGCATGCAAAGGACTCTTTGCCGCTTTTTACAGATCCAGACTAACACGGCTACCCCTCTGATACTTCATAGAGAACTGTCCTTGCTTTCAGATGGAGCTTTTTAAACACACTTTTTGCACAGACAGGTTAACAAATGGTTCTCCACTCCCTCAGAGTGAAAGCCCCGCTAGAAATAATCTGTCTTGACTGCAAATGATATTCAGTTAATATGCAATTACTATTCTTGCAGCTTTTCATTATTATGGCACTCATGGTTTCTATTTAAGAGACTTGTCTCAAGAACAAGTACTGACTGAGCTCAGTTCAGTGCAGAGGATAGTTGTGGTAAGGCAACATCCATGTGCAGGGAAAGACAAAGTTTATAAAATGAGATTTTAAAGAATAAGGCCACATTGAAGGGGCAGGATTTGATCAGGTTCCCTGATAGTCCATTCACAGATTTCTCTACGATACTGAGTGGTTCTGCTTTCTTCCCTTTTCTAAGGGCTCCCATCCAGTGAGCATGTGGTATAGAGCTGTTGTCTCACTGGAGAGATTCAAAGACATTCTGCTGACAAAATGTCCTCATGTTGTCATGACAGATCATGATATAATGTGATGACATTTTGCTGTAACATCATATTGCATCAACACATCTCACTGTAACTGGTTAAAGATAGGAAACAAAGGGTAGGAATAAATGATCAGTTTTCACAGTAAATAGTGGACTCCATCCACTCCCCACCCCCAAGGATTTGAACTGCGACCAGTTCTTTTCAACATATTCATAAATGATCTAGAAAAGGGGGTAAACAGTGAGGTGGCAAAATTTGCAGGTGATACAAACTTACTCAGAAAGGTTAAGTCCAAAGCTGACTGAGAAGAGTTACAAAGGGATTGCACAAAACTGGGTGACTGGGCAATAAAAATGGCAGATGAAATTCACTGTTGATAAGTGCAGAGTAATGCACTTTGGAAAACACAATACCAACTTGTAGCGGGGTGGTTACCCTGCTCCTGCCCTGAAGGGCTTAAAACAGCCCTGGGAGACGGCTATGGCAGGGGAAAAGCTGGGCCGATTGGGGAAGCGGCTGCAGCTGGGTCACACCCCAATCAGGCCACTGCTGGCCTGTATAAAAAGGCTGTGAGCCAGAGGTCCAAGGGGAGTCACTCTTCAGGCTGGGAGAGAGCAGGGCCTGGCTGCCTGCACAAAGGGTATTGGAAATGAAGCAGGGCTGGGGAGAGCCAGAGAAGCAGGGGAGCTCCAGGCTGGCAACTCCCCAGGCTGCAGGGCCTGGTCCAAGGCCCATAGAGGTACTGGGAGGCAGAGGAAGGTAGCAGGTCCGAACCCCCTTGCCTATGATGAGTGGCTTTTACACTGCAGTCCACCCCAGGGAGCGGGGGCTTGATGATGACTGGCAGTAGCCCAGACTGAGGCAAGGTGAGGATTAGAGGCTTGAGGGTTCCCCCCAGAGGCAGAGTGAGGGGTTACTGCCAGGGGGCAGCACCCCAGATAACAGGGCACCAGAGTCCAGGGAGGGACACGGGGGGCCTAGCGGCAGTGGGACACCGGCCTGCAGTGGGCGCTCCAAGGCTGGAAACGAGCTATTCCCAAGACACCAGCAGGAGGCGCCGCAGGGGTGAGTCCCACATCGCTACACAACTGTACATATAAAATGACTGAGTCTAAGTTAGCTGTTACCGCTCAAGAAAGAGATCTTGGAGTCATTGTAGATAATTCTCTAAAAACATCAGCTCAGTGTAAAGCAGCAGTCAAAAAAGCAAACAAAATGTTTGGAATCATTAGAAAAGGGGTAGATAATAAGACAGAAAATATCTTCATGTCACTATATAAATCCATGGTATGCCCACACATTGAATACTGCCTGCCATTCACATCATCCCATCTCAAAAAAGATATATTGGAAAAATTACAGAGAAGGGCAGCAAAAATTATTAGCTTCCGTATGAGGAGACATTTAAAAAAACTGGGACTTTTTAGTTTAGAAAAGAGACAACTAAGCGGGGCTATGATAGAGGTCTGTAAAATCATGACTGGTGTGGAGAAAGTAAATGACTGTTATTTACTCCTTCACATAGCACAAGAACCAGGGGTCACCCAATGAAATTAATAGGCAGCAGTTTTAAAACTAGCATAAGGAAGTATTCTTCACACAACATAGTCAATCTCTGGAACTTGTTGCTAGGGGATGTTATGAAGGCCAAAAGTAGAACTGGGCTCAGTAAAGAATTAGGCAAGTTCACAGAGAATAAATCCATCAATGGCTGTTAGCCAAGATTGTCAGGGACACAACTCCGTGCTCTGGGTGTCCCTAAACCTCTGACCACCAGAAGATGGAACTGGATCACTTGATAAATTGCCCTGTTCTGTTCATTTCCTCTAACACATCTGGCATCGGCCACTGTTGGAAGACAGGACACTGGTCTAGATGGTACATTGGTCTGCCCCACTATGGCCATTCTTATGTTAGAAAAGGGCTGGAAAGGACCTTGAAAAGTCATCAAGTCCAGGCCCCTGTGCTGTGGAAGGACCAAGTAAACCTAGACCATCCCTGACAGGTGTTTTTTAAAAACAGGTTAGAAAACCTCCAATGATAAGGATTACAAAACCTCCCTTGTAAGCCTATTCCAGAGCTTAATTATCCTAATACACCGCTACCTCGATATAACGCTACCCGATATAACGCTACCCAATATAACACAAATTCGGATATAACGAGGTAAAGCAGTGCTCGGGGGGGCCTGCGCACTCCGGTGGATCAAAGCAAGTTCAATATAATGCGGTTTCACCTATAATGCGGTAAGATTTTTTGGCTCCTGAGGACAGCATTATATTGAGGTAGAGGTGTAGTTAGAAAGTTTTTTCTTAATATCTAACCTAAAATTTCCCTTGTGGCAGATTACATCCATTACTTCTTGTCTTGCCTTCAGTGGACATGATCACAGTCCTATTTATAACAGTTTTTAACATATTTGAAGGTCCCTCCTTTCAGTCGTCTTTTCTCCAGACTAAACATACCCAGTCTTTTTAACCTTTCCTCATAGGTCAGGTTTTCTAAACCTTTCATCATTTTTGTTGCTTTCCTCTGGACTCTCTCCAATTTGTCCACATCTTTCCTAAAGACTTCAGCTGAGGTCTCACCAGTGCCGACTAGAGGAGGACAGTTACCTGATGTGACTTACATAGACACTCCTGTTAATACAGTATGAGAAACACTTTTGAAATAGGGGTTATATTATTATTTTCTTCCCTTGAGCCGCAGCGAACCAGATTCAGAATGAAGATGCTGACATGGATGATGGAGGTTTCAATCCGGAATGGGAGCAACAAAGGGATAGCAGAATAGGGCCCCTTGAATCCACTCCTGAATCCCGGGCTGCTGTTCAGGCTCTCCCTAGTAACTCCCAAGCCAGCGAGGACCCAGAAGAGAGTAAGTATCTTTCCAAGACTGAATAAATGTACATTTGATTTTCAGTCAGCTAAAGATAATGTGCCTATTCATTCATATGTTACTTACATAGTACACTGTATTTCAAGGACAGGCTGAAAAGTCCCCAGTGATTAGGATATGTTGACCCACCTGATGTCCTTCACAGGACTGGATGGACTTAAACCATCATATAACAGCAAAGATCTGAATGGCTTTTTTCAATCCGCTGGTGGTCAGAGATTGTCATCCATTTGGATACAGACCTTTCAACTGCGATCCATGCCTTTGTCACCTCAAGATTAGAATACCGCAGTACACTCTGCACAAAACTACATGTTAAGTCTAATTAGAAGCCAAAGTTCAATGCAGGATGTTGCAGCTTGCTTGCTTGTTTTTTTTTTCCCCCCCTGTAGCAGCCTGCTTGTTAAATGCAGTGTCTCGCATTGAGCACATAACATCAGTAGTCAGGGATCTGCACAGGCAGGCTTTTCGTTTCCAAGTGGAATTTAAGGTGTTGTTGGACCAGTAGAGCACTAAGCATTTTCAGACCTGCCTGTCTGGCAGACTGTCTCTCTCCCCATGTGTTACTGCCATAGTTGTGATCAGTGAAGGCACTTGTTTATAGTGGTAGGATGTTAGTAGGGTGTATTTCATAACAGCATCTTTGGCGTTTACTGCCTACCTTTCTCCAAAATAACCCAAATCTCTGTTGACCTTCGGAGTGAACTGCAAAGCCTCTTTCTTTGCTAGAGCTTTTGGGGAGGACACTTAAGAGCACAGGGGGTCTTGGGAGTGGGGTGAAGTTTATTTTAGTCTTTTAATAACTGACCTAATTCTTTTATGTGTAGACTGGCTGTGTTGGTAGACAGTTATAGTTTTCTGAATGGATTGTTATTTAAAGTAACTGTTAGACTCCTATCCCAGGCTGTAGGCACTTTTTCTCCCTGCCCCGTGGGTATTTTAAATGAAGAAAATAATAAATTGTTCCAAGATGTGTGTCTTTCTCCCTCTATTTCTACAATCAGTAGTTCTAGTAGCATATTCACAGTGCTGCTGGTCATACTTGTCTGCCAGCAATAACTTGTTAGAAGCATGTTGGGAAATTCACGTTGTGTGGCAGTAGCTTTGTAGCCATTGCACTGATCACTGAGCGTTTAATACGCTGCAACAGTATTTAAATGTTTAATATCATCAGCATGGTAAGACAGCATTCTGAACACTGCCTTTTTTGTCAAGTTACTGTTCAACACAACTTGACTTGAGAGAGAATTGTTTTAGCATGCAGTGATCACTGTGCAGAGCAAGCAGTGATACAGTCTGTTACTGCGTTTTTAAAAGTGAGTTGGGATGTTGTAAGTAATTTTTTTTAATGTCACTTTGCTAATAAAGGTAAGTGAACAAATTCTGTACTGGATGCATCCAGTAAGGTTCCCACTGAATTTTTCCCTTAAAGTTTAGCATCTGTCTCTGGAGCTTGGGTTATTAATCACTGTAGTCAGTGATAAGTAACTGTAAGGCATCAATTTCCTTCTACAGCTGTCTCTTGAAAGCCCTTTAGAACTGAGATCAGGACAACTGCTAGTCCTAACTCTGCATAATTCTTTTCATTTTCAAATACTTCATTTTTCATTAAATTAGAGCTTCCCAATATGATGAGAAATTAAATTTTGAATAGTAGCTGCAATTCCGGATCTTTTAGATATTCAGAAGTTGTTTCCAAAATGACTTTTTAGTTTTAACAAGGAACCTTGCCACCAGGAATTAAAATAAATGTTGTTAATACTCTTGGAGCCTGGTAATCTAGTAGGATTGGAATGTGCTGCCATGCAGTGTTTCACTTGGCGTCTAGCTTGGTATCGTCTGTGACAGATCAGTGTTAATTTGACAGTGTTTCATAGCTGATAGAGTACAATAAAGTGAAAAGTGACTTATAAAAAAAATAAACCTGTCTCTTTAAAGACAGACTGAGTTATGTTTGGATTGGCACCTCCAGTCAAGACAATTAAGATGCGAAAGCATGGCCTTTAGGGGTATGGGAAACTATCCTTGTAAATGAGAAGTTGGAGTGAGGCTGGGAGACCCTATTGTGTGTGTACACATTCTAAAGGCTCCAAACTGTAATAGTTCTTACAGGATAAACAGGAACCAAAAGAGTTGGTCCAAAGCAGTGAACATGATCCTGAATGAATTTAGGAAACACATAATGGTTAAGTCTTAGGGGAGATCACAGTGAACAGATCAGAGTAACCTGAGCGGTGGTACTGAGGGACTCCAGGGAGATGAGACGTATAAGGTGCTGCCGATTTTCCAGTAGTGACCTAAGTTGGCTTTTGCCGGGTTTAAGACTAGCTATTTTATGCAGTCTGTTTCTTTTGTTTTAATCTCTTCTCCCCTCCCCTCGCCAGTAATCTTGATTTACTACAAACTCTGTGGTTTTGGGACTGTCTGTCTCACAGTCTGAAAGAGCTGAAACCACCATAAAGGTTTAAGAGGTAGTAAAGAAAAGGGTTTCTGGAGTCTGTCGCTCATGGGACTGCCTGTCTAATGGCAGTCTAGGAGTTTTTTCCCCCCACTCTTGCAGCCTGAGCTGCAGTCCTCCCAGATTCACAGGAAATTTCTAGTGAACATGGACAAGAACTGAGTGGAAGGGGTGTATGGGAACACCCTTCTCCTGTGCTAGCAGAGGCTCAGGGGCAGCCATGCTGAGTCCCTGCAAAACGGAGGACCACTTTGCAAATCAAAGATCAGTGCTGATGGGATGCAGAGAGTTTCATCCAGCTAATGGCCATATGAATGAAGTATGTCTACACTACAGCAGCACAGCTATGGCGCTGCAGCTATGCCGATCTAGCATAGACCCTTCGTACCTTTATGGAAGGGGTTTTTCCATCGATGTAGATAATCCATCAGTCAATCCATCCAGGCAGCAGATAGGTTGATAATTTTTCACAGCCCTGAGCAACATAGCTAGATTGAACTAATTTTTAAGTGTAGACCTAGGCTGAAAAATAAATGTGGGGAATGGTTAAGATATGGGAACTCCTTTGAGTTCAGAAGGGAACTGTTGAGGATCTCTCTAGAAAAACCCAATAATTATAGCTTAGAGTGGGAGTGTCAAACTAATTCTGAGGTGAGGGCCAAAGTGTACTTTGACTTGGGGTTTGTGGGCCAGAGAAACAAACCTCACCGGTAAGGAGCATGTTTTCCAGTCTCCTCTGACTGTAGAGTGCACCTGTTTAGCTAAGTTAATTCGTCCTTTCCCCTTGTCTGAAAAGTAACAGAACGCTGGATTGGTTGGTGGAGGCAGCAGTGACAAGAAAAACATGGTGGGAAGAGGAGGACCCACTCCCATAAACCTGCTGCTGCAGGGCTTGATGGGGTTATCAGGAACCCTGAGGGAAAGATGAGGAGAGGGAGAGGGAAGAAGGGGACAAAGGGGGAGAAGAGAGAAGGAGAGAGCAGCTGCTGGGAGAAGAGGAGCCCTAGATTTCCCTCCCCAGGGCAGACGACCACCTGTGCCTCATCTGGGGTAGCAGAGCTCTGGGGCCCTTCCCGCTAGGCCCGGATGAGCAGAAACAATTTGAGGGGCAAGGGAAGCTCCGAAGCAATGGGGCTCAGTCCCAGTGGCAGAAGATGCAAAGGCAGCTGCCATAGCAGGAGGAGGCATGCTGGGACTTCCTTGCATATGGCCAATCAGGCATAAGCTCACTCCTGAGCTCTTCCTCTTCAGCAGGTGCCCACTCGATCTCCAGCTCTCCCTTGGTTCCTGCAGAGCAAGTCCAGAGCTGGATTGCACTGATGTGACGAAGGGAGCTGTGGGCTAGATGAGAGTATCCAAGGGGCTGGATCTTCCCACCATCCGGGTGTTTGACAGCCTTGACGTAGAGGCTTTGAAAAAGCTATGGCACTGTTTGAGCCTTATTTGGTAGAACAAATATACAGGAAATCTTCTGTACTTCTGTTTTACAGAAATGCTGTTAATTGGATATTATGCTACTAAAGTCCCTGCCGAGGTGGTAATTACCATAAAAACGAGCACATTGGCTCATGCACTTTTGAAGGGTCCATGTACTGCAGAACCACAAACACCCATTTAATCTGAAAGATGCATCATAATTACACAAAGAGCCTTTCAGAGCTATCATAAGAAGGATTCTGTAGGAGACACAAGAGGTCACTGGAATGTTTTGCTGGATGTTGGTTTGTGCACTGGAAGATATGTAAGTGGAAACTGCAAAATAACAAGTGACTCATCTGCCCGCTAGGCAGGGTAGTAGGAATAGTCTTTTGGCAAAATGTTGCTGTAAAATGAAACAATTGAAAGTGGCTTAGATCTATAACAAATATAACAGGAACATCCAAACTTGCTCAATTCAGAGTCACACTGGCAATTATTAGGAGTCGGAAGACCTCGTGTAATTTGCATAAAGTGGAGCAAATGGGCAGGGGTCCTCCTTTTTACTCTAGAGATGTTAGAAATGACCCCTGTTTGTGTCAAAATGGAGTACTCTGTTGGGACCTGCAGTTTTTGCTAGCCACACCTCTGTACGAAAGTTGAAATCAGCTACAGGCTACATAGTAGAACTCTATGAACTGCGTTTTGGCTATCCTTTTCTTCCAGAACGTTTTATTTTTGAGTATTCTATTCATTTTTCCCTTTTAAATTCCTTTTCCTGATGTCAGTGTTTATCTGGTAGAGATAGTCGTGCTGATAAGTGCTTCTTCCCTTGTTGCTTTAAAACGGCTTCTGAAAAAATTCTACTTCTCATTGATTCCCAGCCTCCCATTTTGACTCCTTACTAGCTTAATTTAAAATGGGGGTGTGCGTAAAAAAAATTTCTCTTATGTTTGATTTGTGACATTTAATCTGTTTATAACTCGATACAATGAAGTGTACTGGCAAGCTGCGACATATCATTCATGTGTATTGGAGACTGGAACAGCTCTGCAGCAGGAGGGTCAAGAAGAATCTGCTAGTTGCTTTTGGGTGTCCTATTGGTTCCTTGGATTATTCTGTCAGATACGTGCAACGGAAGTCATTTGCTGTGGCTGTTGGTGCGAGTTGTTTTGGGTCTTTATGTAACGCTCCCATATTTTTACCGTTGCAGGGGGAGTAAAGCTCGGTTTAGGAGATTTCATTTTCTACAGTGTTCTGGTTGGCAAGGCCTCAGCAACAGCAAGTGGAGACTGGAACACAACTTTAGCCTGTTTTGTAGCTATACTAATTGTGAGTATAATGTAATGTGGTGGTGGTGATATTTCAGTGCATTCTTCAGTGACCAAGCGGGCTGCTGTTGTATATTTTCCTTTGGGATTTTGCATATTGGTTATTCAGTGCCTGATCTTGCCATCATGGTCTTAAACTGCAAGTTTTGCTGTGGATTTCAGTTGGAGCAGGATCAGTCACTTAAGCTTCAGTTCAGCACAGCACCTAAGTTCATGTTTATGTCCCATTGATTTCAGTGGGATTTTAAATATATGCTTCAGTGCTTTACTGAGTGGGCTCATTAGTGAGTTACTTTGAGTGCTATTAATGTCAGGATTAATACTTACTACACAATGTGGAAAAGCAAAAGACTGTAATTGACCAACCCTTTTGTCAGCCCTTCAGCTTGATGTCTTCTGTAATACACCTCTACCCCTATATAACACTGTCCTCGGGAGCCAAAAAATCTTACCACGTTATAGGTGAAACTGTTATATCAAACTTGCTTTGATCTGCTGGAGCGTGCAGCCCCCCCCCCCCCCCCCCCCTCCTCTACCGCGTTATATCCAAATTCGTGTTATATCGGGTCGCGTTATATTGGGGTAGAGTGTACATATTTTTGCTGGCTTGAGTTTTACCATGTAACATCTCCTTGTTCTTCTTTCCAGGGTCTGTGCCTTACTCTACTGCTTCTTGCCATCTTTAAGAAGGCTTTACCAGCTCTTCCAATCTCCATAACCTTTGGGCTCGTTTTCTACTTTGCCACAGATAACTTGGTGCAGCCCTTTATGGACCAGCTAGCATTCCATCAGTTTTATATCTAGCACAGTTGAAGTTGATATTCTGTGGACATTTATATTGACTCTAGAAAATCTGGGAGGAAAAAGGGATTTTTACTTGGTCCTCACATGACACTGAAGTTCAATGCTCAAGATTTCTGGCATGAATCATTGCAACTTCCTCCCATGTTTTCCTGAGCCACTGCACTGGGTACCATATGATTCTTCTGTGTAAAAAAGGGTTTTTTCTCAATGGATGGACTAACTTGGATGCCATTATGTCATAAGCAATCTCTAAATGATAAACATGTAATAAGGACCACCTGTGTAAAAGCTGCTAATGCTTCTACCAGCAACGTGAGCCCTGGGTATAGGTTGATATTTTCCTAACGCTGAAGGCACTCAGACTGCCATGAGGTTAAACAAAGGAAGTTAGCAAAGTTCTGTTTGATTTGACATGTAAACCATTTGAAGAGAGTCAATCCAATATAAACCTTTAAAGCAGTGTTTTTCACCAGTTGAGTCCTGACCCACTTTGGTTCATTAGGAAAAGGCCAGGCATTGCAACAATGGGACCGAAGGAGAAAGAATTGTCTCTCCTAAAGAGAGTTCCACCCCTTAATAGCCTCTGTGCCTAAGTGTGCTTGGTTTTGATAAGTCTAAAAGCTTATTTTCACACTGGAACAAGAGCCTGTACTCAAATTTACTAACACTTTGCATTCTCAAGCACAGAGCGTGCATCCTGTACTACCGCTGCCAATTTCTAATGTAGCTACCAAGGCTTGGACTGAATAGTTTGGAACAAGTCAATCATGAGGTCCTAACATGGATCTTTGTAAAAGGTTGGAGGACTAATACTCTAAAATTTTCTTTACTAAAATTACATGACAATGTTTGGATTTATTTTTGTCGTCTTGCTAATCTTTGCTAGAATAACATCAATTCAAACCCTGCCTTTAGATGGCAATTTGCCACACAGGACTGCATTGCTCTGAGTTCCCGTTCTCCCCCTGGATCTTTGGGCATATGAAATAGGCAGACATTTGCAGCAGCATCTCCATCCAAAGCATTCCAGGATTTTAACCTTCTATTGTCAGGTGTAGAGAAATGGAGGGTTATTTTTAGTAGCATTCTGCTGTTTCCTTCAAACCTTTCTCTCCAAAAACATATAGTTGAAAGGATCTGGATTACAGCAAATTAAAATGAAGGGCAATGTTTTTCCTAAGTAACAGTCAGTTGACTTCTCTGTTACATGTTAAGCTTTAGTATCAGCCGTTCAAGCTTATTTCAGGCTAACACCTAACGCTGAGTGATTTTATTTTATGTAGTGTATTGATAAATGAATATTCATTAGTCAAGTGAGACATCACTTAGTGTTGCTTGGGAATAAAAAGTATGGCCTTTTTCCCCAGTTATAGTGAGGCGTGATGGAATACGAGATTGGAGAAACCTGGAGAAGCTTAAGAAGGGAGAAGAGAGTCCCAGAACAGCTGAAAGGAGGCCTATGGGTTGTTAGCCTTTATACAAAGTGAAAAATTGAAACTAAACTTAATAACCCCACCTTAATTTGTTTTGTTGTCGTTCTTTATTTAAAACTACAATGATTTGGTGTTTGGTGAACATTTTTTAGAATGGGACATTTTTGGGAGGATGAGATTGGAGAAAAACATTTTGTGTAAGCGAAGAGCCTGGTTTTGGTGCAGCTGAGCTCAATGAAGCATTGAGTGGATGGAAAGGTTTGACTGTTGATGGCATTGCAGTTTATGTAAATTTAATATTGGAGTCCTTTCTAAATAAGAACCTAATGGACAAAACCAGTATAAACAGAGCCTCTGAAGCAAACTTTTTCCCCTCCAGAAAGAGCTCAACTTCAGAAAACATGGAGTAGTAATAGGACTGAGACTTCATGCACATTTTCAAGTTGTTGTTTGAGTACTGGGTAATATGTTGAGGTGTTTGCATTTGTGTTGCATACCAAGAAGGCTTTGCTTTCTTTAACTGCCTCATCTTTAATGTCCTTGGGAACGTCTATGTGTTGCCCAGTGAAATCTCTACTAGCCACAGAATGTTGGCACCTGGAAATCAGGGCAGTTACATCAAATAAGGTGCGCACACTCTTCTAATCTGAAAGTATTTGCATTCTAGGTAGTGGCTGCATTTGCCTGTTGAATTCATTATGGATAGCATTAATAAAGTAACCACATCTTGGTACTCATTCTGGCTGTCTAGGTCAGAACTGCCTGTGTAATTGTAAGGACTAGTTCACTGTCCCAGATATTACTTGAGTGGAACTTCATTTAAAATTGGATTTTTAATACAAAGTTTTCTACAGTTTGAGTTTTCTTTACTGTTGTTATTGATCCTCTCATCAGCATTAATCTCTGAGAAATTCATCTGGTTTTTGTTGTTGGGCATTCTAACTATTGCTTGTTCTTTATATAGAAAAGGATTGCCAAAAGTTGGTACCACTATCATCTGTTTGTACATCTGAGCCAAATCTCAGTTAACCTCTGCATTTTACTAATAACTGTTATCTTTTGTTTGAAATAGTCACTGCTGGAACTCTTGACTCCCTTAAGGCCCAATCTAATGCCTGTTGAAGTAAATAGGAACCTTTCTATTTACTTCACTGAGTGTTGGATCTGGCCCTTGAAGAACAACTCAGAATCCTCAAAACATTTAAATTGCCAGTCTTCCACTGCCTAAAATTCTGCCATCCTGGAGTTTTAATTTCTAGCTATGTTACAGAAGGTTGTGGTGGAGATTATACACCAATATAATAACATTAAGCCTTGAGTACACTTGCTAAAGCCAGGAGATGCAAAAGTAAGATTGAAACTCTTTCCTGAATTTGCCCTTTTACACCGAAGTACGGTAGTACATGTGCTGAATGCAATACTGTGATGCTAGACCACTTCTTAATTAACCCTTCTGGACCAAGTACTGAATAGTGTTCATTCTGCATTTCCTGGATTTGGGAGTTTAATGCACAAGTATGAAGTTAAGTCCTGTCATAATTTCTCTTCTAGCCTTCCATAAAAATACAAATCTAATTTGATATTGGATTATTTCAATCTGGTCTACTTTGTATAATCCAGAGATTTCTGGTATATTGTATAGCTCTTTGAGGGGGTTATTGATTCCTAAATTAGAACACTATTGACAACACCTTAGTCTGCAGAAGCTCTTTGCTTTTATTGTGTTATCCCAGTAGCTGTGGATCTTTCTCCTCTGTGTTCCAAACATGTCTATCACATTTGATTAACCAGTAATTGTAGTGGCTTCAAGACTAAATTCTGTCATCTTTGATAGCTTCCCTACTTTTCAAACTTTCATAAGCGATTAGTCTCTTTTAGTGGCTACTCATCTGCAAAATGTCATAAACCAAAACATCGAGTTGTAAGAGTGCTTAAAAATGTCCGCTTGGATTTATACCATGTGTTTTCTTCCTCATTGCTTTTATTTTCGGATTTACTCCAGAGCAGATAGATATAACAGATATTTGTAAATAGGGAATTATTTTCATGGCTATACTGAATGCTGCTACTATAAATAACTGGAAGCTCCTGACTGTGGTGCATCTGCGTTCAGATGTAGTCAGTGTAGGGTGAGTCTGGAGGTCGAGGTGCTTGTGTACAGCACCATGTTCAAACTGTCCTGGGAGCAAATCCTGATTTTAAGCCAAATACTCAATACTGAACTCTGCTGAAAATGGCTAACCTCCTTGGAGTAAAAAGCAGACCATGCATTTGTTGTTTGGACTCTGGTACTGTACATGGCAACTGTTCTGCCATTACCACAGTGAGGGAGAATTATCCTGGACTACATTTGAGTGGAATTTCCAGACTGATGATGAAGTGTTAGGAAACTTCTCAAAACACTTAAAATAAATAAATAAATAAAAGGGGGCAGGGGGAACTGTTTTGACAGCTATGCTGTTGAGACCAGTATAATGAAGACTGTGGAACACGTCTGCACTACGGTAGTATCTTGTTTTACAGCATAAGTTTGGTCATTGGGAATGCTGGAATATGAATTAGAATTGGATTATTTTACACTCAAGCATTTGCTGTTTTCTTTTTTACAGACACTGGTTTGTACATAATCTGAATTGAATGTGAATAAGTTTTTTAAACACCTTTCCAATTCTTGATAAGATACAGTTTTGATAGATTATTGCAAATTTTCCTTTGTCTAATCATTAAAATAAAGAATGCATGGATCTTAACTTTGCTGATTGTCGTGGTTTCAATATGATTATATTAAACATTAAACTTCTATTGGAGGCCTAAACACTGCAGATTTTAGCTTCAGTATTTAAAGAACAAGTATCTTGTCTTAAAGAGATGTTTAAAAGCCTCTTATTTCCCAAAGGAATAATTTCTTCAAACTAGATTCCCATAAAAACACATTTTTAAAGCTTCCTTTCATATTAATTTGGAGAATCTGTCAAAACCAATTATAGGAACCCACATGAGACATAATTAAGGTGTGAAATAAGCTATATAAAATTGTTGAAATTCAGGATGTTTTATGCAGCAAAAATAATCGTAGTCAGGCAACATTTATGTAGGTCATTCGGGAAGAAATCCCCTCACAAACAGCATCTAAATGTACAACACTGAATACTGATTTCACAGCTGTAAGAGTGGCGGGAAAGCCTTACACCCCTCAAACTGTAACATATCAGTTTTAGTCCTGTTGAGTGATGCAAATTTAAGTCAATTTTACCACTGTTGTGTGGAAACTTAGGTTTCCTTTACTGGGATTTGTCCTGTCTCTGTTAAAATAGAAAATGGAACTCAAATTATGAACAGAACTCAGCAAATAATTTGTGATGAAATTAGCTGTGTTGTTGTTGAATTATCCACAAGCAATTTAAGACTTTTTCTCAAATGAAGCTGCTCAAGAATGATTCAATACATAATTTTGGTCTGTAGCTTGTTTGCATGGGTTTCATTGGAGTTCTCACACCAGCAACTTGGTCTACAGCTAACACCTTCATTAACCAAGCACTATGAGGTGGATCTTCTGTCTTCTGCTGAGGCCTCCTTTGGCCTGAAGGTGCTGCAGGGGGTGGCCCAGAAATAAATACCAACTTTTGAGCAAGCTCACCAAAAGAAGGGGTACTTCTTTCCTTCAGAACTTTGGTTTTATAACCCTCCCCACATCTGTTCATGGCTTGCTATTTCTCAGACATCCAGAATTGTAGGAGATGCTGGGCTCCAGAAAGGAAAGTATTGGTAAGAAATTTTCTATTCTGTTTAACATATAAGAAATGTTCCGTTTTAAAAAACAAACTATTGGTACTATTTTTGTATGCTTCTGCCTATAAAGCCTGGTATCATAGTCACCATGAATCCAACCACATAAGGCCTGAGAGGGAGAAATTCTAGCTAATAACATTTCAGGGATGTTTTAAATAATGTCCCAGTTTTAAGGTCTGATATCTTGGGATCGTTCAAGGTTACATATAAGTGCTCAGAGAGGCAGCACCTTCTCTAGAATGAAGACTTTGGACTTAATTCAGGCTGTTGGGTCTTTCTAAGAAGTTAGGGTTACCATATTCAAACATTTAAAAAAGAGGACACTCCACGGGGCCCCGGTCCCGCCCCCGGCCCTGCCCCAACTCCGCCCCTTCCCCGCCCCAACCCCACCCCTTCTCTGCCCCCATTCCAACTCCTTCCCCAAAGTCCCTGCCCCAACTCTGCCCCCTCCTCTGAGCACCCCGCATTCCCCCTCCTCCCTCCCGCTCTGATCTTGGTTGGAGGTTGCTAAGTGCTTCCCTGCTCCCCACTCGCCCCGCAGCCCCTATGCCCTTGCCTGCCCTGCTCCTCCTTGCCCTGCAGCCTCTGCACCCCCCCGCCCCTGCAGCCTCTGTGCCCCCTGCTCCCCACTCACCCTGCAGCCTCTGCGCCCCCTGCCCCTGCAGCCTCTATGCCCCTGCCTGCCCTGCTCCTCCTCGCCCTGCAGCCTCTGCACTGCCTGCCTGCCCTGCCCCTGCAGCCTCTGCACCCCCCTGCCCCTGCAGCCTCTGTGCCCCGTGCTCCCCACTCGCCCTGCAGCCTCTGCGCCCCCCTGCCCCTGCAGCCTCTGTGCCCCCTGCTCCCCACTCGCCCTGCAGCCTCTGCACCCCCCTGCCCCTGCAGCCTCTGCACCCCCCGCCTGCCCTGCCCCTGCAGCCTCTACACACACACACACACCCCCCGCAGCCTCTGCTCCCCCGCTCACCCGCCAGAGAGAGAGCTGCGGGCTCCATGTGGAATCAAACACTGCCGGCTGCTCTGTGGGGGAGGAGGGAGCGGGGGAGGGGGAGGGACTCTGGCTGCTAGAGGCCCTAGTGGCTGCCAGCGGCTTTCAATCAGGCCAGGCGTCCAATCAGCCGCGCCGCACTCCGGATGAGGGGAAGGGGGAAATCCCGGACATTTCTACTTGATTAGAAATCTCCCCCCTGACGGCCATTTAACACTGAAAAAGCCGGACA